AATACTACTATTCTCAATCCAATACTATCTATAGTGTTCTAAAAATTTTTTAAATTTGTAGTAGGTTTCGCCGGCGCACTGCCACATTGTGAGACCTGGAATCTCCAAAATTTTGGTTTTTCTTTCAAACTTCGCCATGCTGTATATTCTCACTTGCTAACGAAAATTAATCAATCTGTTGCACGAAAGGTCCTTTGAAGTGGACCAGCGAGCTAAAAACAAAGTTTTTTTTTCTTGGAACGCGGGATGCACATCGAAGGAATGCTCTGATGATTCGTCCATTTTCTTATTTGAATGCTGATTGAATCGCATTTGTTGAGCACTATTCAGCTTTACCGAAGGGCAAAGAAAGTTAGGCGCTAGTGGGCCGAGATTACAACCTAAAAATCTGCGTGGGTTTATCTGACGGCTGGCTTTGAGATTAGTCGTAGCGAGTGCAAGGATAATCATCTAATTGAGTAGTGCTTGTTGTAATTTTGCAATGAAGTGATGATGTAAAGTAAGCGTCGTAATCAAGTACCATCCAACCACTTCCAAAATTCGTAGATCTTGGATCTTGAAAGTCGCCTGAAGACATGGTTTGGCATGCCAATCACTAGTATCAAATCCGCTGTGCAAAATACGGTGATACCGCTGAGAAATGATGGTGGACACAGAGGGCTTAGAAACAAAGCTACTTTTGATTATCAAGAAAGTATTTGACACCTCATCGAGATTATTGCATTCATTCCACCATAGTGCTCATAATAGAGACTTGTAGAGAGTGGGTGTAAATTAGTGATAGTGACTGAAAAACTTTTTGCACAAGCCTTTGACCAGACGATTCTTCATTTTGTCATTTGAAACGTTACGCTTTATGTGGGTAGCAAATCAGCTGATCTTATTAGTTCACTTTTCAGAAACTGTTGCGACTTTCTACTTTCTGACAACCGTAATATCACAGTAGGACTTCTACATATACTGTGACAAATAATATATTCGTGTTTAGCAAGTTGCATGCGCTAGTCCACTTTTCAGCTAAAAGTGACTAATGACTTCTGACTCCCCTACCGTCTCTTGCCGTAGTTTCACCGTATG